ACAAACACAAATTCATGATTTAAATTCTGTAATATAAATATGAAGTGGCTGAAATTTGAATTTCTCGAAACTTTATAAAATTAAGTATGTGGGGTAACGCATGTAAAAACAATTATCTGTTTTGAACAAGGTTTTCTAAAAAAAAAACTTAAAAAATAATTTCATTCACTAGTTAATAAGTTCTGAAAATTTGATTAGAATCTGACAATTCTTTGATTTTTGCAAGAATTTCTAATTTTTTAATGGCAAAAAAGAGGCTAAATTTCCTAATACTAACATTTTTAACCAAAATTTCGAACGTACCAGAAAAAATTAAAAAAATTAATAAAAAAATACTTTTGGGCTTCCATCGTAATAATAGCATAAACATTTTGACGATCAAGTTTGAGACATTGTTTTCTTCATGATATGCTCTTCTTTAGAAAGGTAACTAACACTAAAACGATATATAATATTTTATATAACAAGAAAGTTTTCGTATAATGCGTTTCGTCCTTTAGGACTTCATCTGAATAAATCAAATTTCATGTGTAGTCGCATCAATATAAACATAAACTTAATCAGATGTAGTCTTAAAGGACGAAACTGTGACGTCACCCCGTGCTGTCTGCCCCGTCGCCGTCCTATCCTGCGACGGCCAATGTGACTTGGTATTGGTCGCGGCACCAAATGTGACGTTCTAACCTTTTGCTGATTCGGATGGGAATCTGGTTAGATTTGGTATCAGCCTTGTCATTCCCAGCTCGCCTCCAACGTCTGGTTACCGAAGTAACTGTTTTAATTTCTAGTCTAACCTACCCACGTTGTGATTGGATCTTAGGTAGACGAAATCAATCAGTCGCCGGGCCGCAATGCAAGTCGAGTCCGAACAAGGGTAATACCGCACAAGTATATGTAAAAGAAATTAAAGTAACAACTCGAAAAGTTCAAATGTGTTAAAAAAGAATAACAATATTTTATATCTGGTTTCTGAATACAGGACTGCGTCTTTCTGCCAAACCCCTAATATGGATTCGTGACACTTTGTGTTTGTTAGGCGAGTCTTAACATCTTAAGTTGTTTTTTTTTCTTTAAGAAACTGGTTTTTTGGTGTATCTTCAGGCGACATTCGTAAAACTTGTTTTGGTGCCGTGAGTCTAAGTCGTTCTTCAAAAATAAATTTTTCTTGGTTAGAAGTTGAGGTCGTGATGCGTGGATCTTTCAGTCAGCTTTCTGCAAGGTGGGTCTCAGGGCTCACAGCTCAACTTTGTCTGCGTCTGCCAACTGCGTCTGTGTTACTCACTCTGCAACTGCTTGCCTGTCTCTTCAACCCCAACTGCCGTCCACTCGCTGCGACTCTGCTTATATGGACGCCGACCAAAACCGGGGTGGGCTTGTCGGGGTTTGAGGTTCCTTGAT